AAAAGTCTAAAACCTATCTGTTACTCTTTCTATGTTAACCTATTTGTTTTCAAATATCTGAGGTGGTAAAAGCATACCTACTAAAAATATCAGTTCACTAAGTAAATTAAACACATCCAAAGCAATCGATGCAAATATAAAAGAAATAATTTTTATAACCATTTCTTATATAAATATTTTATGTACGTACATTTGTATTTTTAAAAAATATTAAGGTGTCAAAAGATACAATAACTTATTTCAAATATACAAAGAGATGTTTTAAAAAAAACATACGAAATCCTAACCTCCGTGAAGCTATCTTCCGTGAAGCTCTAATATTCAAAATGCATGATTTCTTAAAATTCTTGCATTAGTGCAGAAGCACTTATGTTATGTTATTACTAGACCTGGTGGCTTCCCAAAAACCCCATTCTAGAGTAACAGTGAAACAACCAAAAATAAAAAATAATCATTTTCACTTGGGGGACATCTCAATATATTCACCCACATGCTATAAGTGATATTTACTTGTTGACGAAGTACTTTGAATATAATATAACGGTGTGGATAGCTTCTTGGTGCAATAGTAAGTTAATAGATTTCAAATCTGCTACCAATGAGGTTTCAACCCCATGAAATGAGGTCCAATATTCCGGACAACTTGCATCCACCTACATAAAACATTTAATTAATTTACTAAACATATACATAACGACGTTCCTACCTTTCGATACAAAATTGTTAAAACATCAAGATTTTCATCGATGGAACTGTGTACTAAATCCAAATACTGTCCACTGGTGTTGGTATGCATTTTATCGGTCAAAATAAAGTTTCGTAGTACCAATTGATAGGCCAGCCCATACGTCATTAAAGCTAGGTCCATAGAAACAACGCCCAATCTTAGCACCAAATACTTTTTGTCAGATTTATCACTGGATCGGGAGAAATCTAACAAAAACTAAAACAACATATTTTAAAATTCAATTCCTTAAATACTGTTTTGTCGTTAGAGTCAATCCAAATGAAAACACCAAAAATGAATTTAAAAGTGCGCTGCGTGATTTTTTATTTTAATGAAAAAATTTGAGGATGATCTTTTAGGTATCATATATTAAAAACCGTTGCCGTTTTAATTTTTAGTTGCTTTATTTTTAATCGGCACCCTTTAGAAATCGTGTCATTTTCTTACTCTTTTATAAGAGGCTAAAATTTTTTTCTGAATTATTGAAATGATTGTAATTTTATTTTACTCCCTAGTAAGTATGTTTTCAATATTAATTATTATTATCTCATAAAAGAGGGCAAAATTGACTAATTTTGAAAATTATCAAGTTTCAATAATTTTTTTAATAAAGAAAATGATGGTCTAGAAACTTAAAATAATAGTTACGTTTTCTATTGTATAAGTACTTGATACCTGAAAAAAATCAACTTTCTAGATTTAGCAGAATAGGCACAGGAGCCAGACAAAAACACAAAAATTGGCAAATTATCATGAATCTTTAGTGGTTTACTATTCTTTTATGAGATTAACTAATTGGATAATAATAATTTATATTGAAAACACACTTACTAATCAGTAAAACAAAATTAAAATCATTTCAATATTTGTCACAGAAAAAAGTTCTGATCCACTATAAGAGAGTAAGAAATTGACACGATTTCAGATGTCTAAAGGGTGCCGATTAAAATTTAAGAATCCAAAAATTTAAACGGCAACGGATTTTCATATTTGATACCTAAAAGATCATCCTCAATTTTTTTATTAAAATCAAAAATCAAGCAGCGCACCCCATTTGGTGTTTTTATTTGGAATGACTCTTTATCAGTTTTCTGGAATATTTTTACCTCTTTAATTGTAAGTCCCAATAGAGTTTTAATTCGGTTACTTTGGGAAATATTGTCTTCTAGCCCCGGTAAGTCCACATTTTTTGCCCAAGCTTCGTTCATATTCTCAATGGGTACATCAGGAAAACCATTTCTAAAATTTAACACATTCATATTTATCATAATAAAAATTAAATCCTCACTTACTCTTTGGGCTTTTCCACATCTTTAGAATATTCTTTTTTGAGAATTTCGGATTTTCCGAAACCACTCCATATTGCTAGGTGTTCCTGAATTTTTTTAAGAGGTGAAGTCCCAGTGGCTGTCTTTATTTCGTCGTTATAAAAAATATCTTCAACATTATCTTTCTTTTCTAACAATTTATAATCTATATTGGTATTAAAATATTTTAACAGCACAAATACTTTTCTCTCTGATAAATTTAGTTTTAGGGTGTCAAATTGAATATTAAATTTACATCTAAAAAATTACGATATTTCAACAAAATAAGTTAATTAACTTAAGGGATAAATAATATTAATCCCTTAAGGAATAAATAATATTAATAATATAGGATGACTCCCCATTTGAATAGTTTTAACTGAACTGTATTGAATCGTGCTTTGTTTATATATTTTTCGCCTCTATACCTATGAACGACTATAGTAAAGTCAAACTCAATGGTGTCTTACAAGATACATCATTTTGATTCTTTATATTCAACAGAGTGGTAGAAACTCGACCCTGTCGAATGGTGCATTCATTTACGTCTCTAGAAATTATTGAAAAAGGGGAAAGTCCAATGGTGCAGCAACTTCGGATTCTTATTCTCTTCAGAGACATAGAAACTCAAGCTTTTCGAATTTTACTGGCAATGATTTTCGTTAATGTCCCCGAGAATTATAAAAAAAACAGCGCAATGCAATATCGCAACGGTTTCGACTTCTCTTTACTCTACCAAGTTATAGAAACTGGAGTCTCTCTAATACTGTTCTAGTTAATATTTCTGAGAGCATAAAAAGAGGGTGTAATTCAATATTGCAAGAAGTTTTGATCTTTTGATGGATGCAAGTATTTTGAATATTCTCATTTCTGCATATGATTTTGTTGAAAACAGTTTCTTTCTTTGGTTCCTTTGTCCGATTTTTGTTTACCGTAACAACTCAGGTATGTAAGCACAGAGGATATGATGTAAAGTATATTTATGTATTATATAAAGTACCTATATTTGTATTAAAAATTTCAGAGGTTATGTTGAAAAAACGATCGATATGTTATTAAACTTTAATAATTTAGTAATGAAGTCTGTTGGTCTAGTCTGCACTATCTCCACTGGTACATGTTAGTACAGCAATGTTTAAATCTGGTTGATCAAAAAGTACACACCAGTGCAGGTTATTGTAGCATCTACGAACAAATGAATTAATGGCCCATTGGCAATTATTCCTTTAGGAAAAATATTCAACACAGCTTAATTAATTAATAAAATGAAAAAAATCACAATCATATCGTATATAGTTTTTTTTAAGCATAACATAATTTTTATATTAATACTAGTTGAAAAGTCAAATTACGACCTTTATACTGTGGAGAGTATTGAAACGCTCGACTGACGAATACAGCTCTATACCGTGGCGAGGGTTTAGAAAACTGTATTCAAACGTGGCGTCATCCAATACACTTCTATATTTTTTCGTTTGTTCTGTAGTCTGGTTTCTATTTAAAATTATTGTAGACATGATCATGTCTTACTCGAGTAATAGACTTAAGTAATATTGATTACTTACTGTGGAATTAACTCAGTGTTTGCCACTGATATGGCATAAGTTGAGGAAAAACCGGTTTTGGGAACTATGTGCATATCGGTAAATTTTTCCTTTCTAGCATCTTTCCAGTTATCACAAGTATCACAGAACAGCAACTGCATACCACTGCAGCCTATATTTAATTTCGAATAGAGATTCTCCTCCATTTCCATTATAGTGGGGGACCCAGAAATATCCGAGTTCTTACAAATTTCGCTGGTAATTGTATATCGACCCAAGTCCAGCACCAACATATGATCAGTTCTGTAAAGGAGATTGAAATTTTTACCATTTTAAATATATTCAACTTTATAGTTATTGGACAATTAACAATTATACTATCTCAGTCGGTAATAACATAGAACTACTTTATTTTGGGTCCAATATAGGACAAAAAAGTTCGCACGTTACTTTGGTGGTAAGATTTTTGTTTTTTGTTAAGAGAAGGGCTGTGTTTAAATTACAATAAAAAATATTTCTAAAAAGTGTACAGATCAGTGTGTGGTATAAATGTGTTCATCATGGTTTAAACATTGCCACTTTAATGCTTTTTAATTTTAATTCTGAAAACAAACAGTAAAATGGCCAGTGTCCAATTACTGGTTGGTAAAAAATGTAAATTTCTATTATAGGACATATGGCCAATATCATACTCTATTTATATCCCTAACATTTACATTTATTTATGATAATTTTGACTAATTTATTTTAAGAAAGTAAGTAATATAGTAATTTCTTCGTCACAGGACATCTTGCAGAATAACAGTGATTTGAATACAGTGCAATATAGAGAACACTAGTGCCATTAGTTAATGGCAACGAAATTAATAAATTCGGAAAATATTTGAAAAAATATTAGATATATATAAATCATCCTGTTCCGGCCTAAACATTATAAATGTTTCACAAACTAGAGATACCACACTATTTGCAACAAACTATTTCAGAAGTCAGACCAAGAAATTAGTAGTTACCTTCAGAATCCAGAAAAGGGATGAGGAATCCGAGAAAGAAATATATAAATTACTAGTATATGATATTTACAAAAACGAAATAAAGAAATTACCTAAAGCAGCAATTTATCTTTAAAAAATATTTAACAATTTATGTTATTTAATGTTAAGTTGTTGTTTATAAAAAAATTGTATGTCCAATAACTATGGTCCATGTGTCCAATTACTATACTTTTTTGCATGTTTTTATAAAATTATTATTAAAAATTCAAATATTCTTATTTTTAAGTAAACGTAAATATCCCTTACGTGTCCAATAACTATACCATACTTTAATTAAAATGTATGATATGATATACACATAACACTCACAACCAACCTTGTATACCTATATAATTCCTAAACCAATTACTCATATAATTTTTTAGACTTACTTTAAGAAACATCCGGACTCAGGTATAACAACATAGGGCACCTTAATATTCAAACTCAAATCCCATCTTTCTTCTAATTTATTTCTGCAAAAGTTTTCAATTTTAGAAGGTCGTGTCTCCACAAAATTGTATAAAAATGTCGGAGTATCAATTTGGAGATCAAAGAATTTCGTTATCTCAGTGAGAGACTGCTTGTTGTACAAAATTTCAACAGAATCCATGACTACGCCAAGTTTATAGGGAGAAAGGGAATTTTCAGGCATTTTTTCCAATTCAGCTTTAAAGAAATACGCTGGGCTGTCGCTAAGATGTTCCGAAGAAACTATTGGTGATAATAATTCTTCTGCGTTCGCACCTTCCATAATGAGCCCTTCTATTTTGATTGAGGCCTTGAATGTGTTGGTAACGTTATTAGGCTTAATGGTAAAACTAAATTGGGTTAAAGTAAGCAAAAATAATTCTTTATTGTTGTTTGTTAAAGTGGTGTTGAAGTTGCCAATACGAAGGTGTACAATATTTTCTGAAATATAAATTTTAAATAAATATAAGTATGTTATGTTTACTGGGGTGTTAACTTAAATGTTTAACCAGAATTACTACCATTACCTAGGTTTATAGATTTATTTAGTTCGAATCCAATATTTTGACATAGTATTAATCTATCCGATGTGGGCAATATTGACCAAAAACTTTTTTCAGAATTTCCTCCTCCCGCCTATAAAATATACAAAGAAAACTTTGCTTTATCATGGGTTTTCGTATACGAGGTGTGTTCAGAAAATAACGGGAATTGTTAAATAAGTATGATAAAAACTTTATCTGTTTTCATTCTTTACTTTGTCTGTGGCAGCCGCTAAGGTTAGACGTGTTTTATGAGCTCGGCGATTTTTCGTTCGTTAAAAGAAATGGAAAAAAGAATTTGTATCCAATTTTGCTTAAAAAATGAAATAAATTCTGTAAAATGTTAACAAAGGCCTATAGTGAGTCTGCTATAAGTAAAACAAGAGTTTACAAGTGGTATAAGAGTTTTCAAGATGGCCGTGAAGACGTTGAAGATGACGAACGCCCCGAACGCACAAGCACATTAACAATCGATAAAACATGGAAAAAGTGGAAGAAATGGTTATAAACCATCAGAGAAGTCGCTGATGATGTTGGTTTATAGATTGGCTCATCCCATGAAATTTTTTTGAATGTTTTGGGTATGAAACGCGTGGCAGCAAAATTTGTTCCAAAATTGTTAAATTTTGAACAAAATTTTTGGCCAAAAACAATACTGTAATGAAGCCCCATCCTCCATATTCGCCAGACATGCCTCTGTCTGACTTTTTCCTATTCCCAAAAATAAAGAGAACCTTAAAGGGCCGTCGTTTTGCAAGCATAGATGACATTAAAAGCGCATCGCTGAAAGAACTAAAGGCTATCCCAAAGATCGAGTTTTAGAAGTGTTTCGAGTATTGGAAGAAGAGCTGGCACATGTGCATAATATCCAATGGGGACTATTTTGAAGGCGACAACATTAATGTAGACGAATAAATAAATATTTGTTTCAAAAAACGAAAGTTACCGATATTTTCTGAACACACCTCAATTATTATAAATACTAACCAAGGAATTTCGAGCATGTTGTCTTGCAATTTCAATGTTAAAAACTGATAGGTTGTCTTCTTGTTGCTGTAACTCCAACTTTACCTCTGTATTGTTAGGCTTCAAGACGATATTTTTGTACGTTTCCACGTACTGTTTAAAATTCTTCCTGACCTTTTTAATTCGGCTCCACGAGTAGGGTTTGACGCGCTGCTCCAAAAGAGCTAAGTAAGCGTATTTCCACCATTTCCTCTTGTTTTCCAGGATTTTTTCCTTTGGTCTCAACGACAAAAATTGCCAACTTGTATTCATCCTTTCCAAGGAATTAGACACCACCAAAAATGATTTATATTGGTCCTTTGAAATATATGCGTTTAAATCTTGGATTATGTAGTCCATGTTTAAGTGGGTTATGTTGCCTTGTTGGTTTTTCTTTGTTAGCATTTTAATTTTCATCGTCATTGGCTTTATTACTGGAAAATAATAAGTAGTTAATATGTTTTAAATTAGGTCCTACAATATTGTTGTAGTTGCTACCCTGATAGCACAGTTTATTCTAAGAATGTTTTTTAAACCTTCCAGTGGGAATATTCTTAGGATCATGCTATATTTCTTCTAAAGAACATGCTTAAAAGACATATAGCATAATCCTAAGGCCTATAGGCAGGTTCTTAGAAGGTGTAAAGTTTAATGGTAAAAATTAATAGTACCTATACTTAGTATTAAATACTAAGTAAAAAACACAACCCAAAATATTTTGTTATAGTTATTTGTCAAATTAAAACAATATTCAAAAACAAAAATACTTTTACTATAGGTATCTAAATTAACCGGCTTTTACATAAAATCTTCTATCCAACTTAAATACAATGAAAAATGTTTTTTTTATGAAGAACTATTTGCTTTTTTCTTTTATGAAAAATTATTTTATAAGGAAATATTTTGTTTTTGTATATTTTATTTTAAGTTAAAAATAAATATTTATTAATTTGTATGTAATCTGACTTATCCCACAAAATATTCCAATTTTACTTTTTTTGAAATAATGTCATACAACTTATGGTTTAGAGGTCAAATTGTTTGTTTAATATTTTTAAATAAATATATAATAATGTCGCAAAATTTTTTAAGGGGGCGACAAATACATTTCACTGTCATATTATGACAGTGAGGCGTATTTGTCGCCTCCTGAAGAATTTTACGAATGTAGAATCTAACATATTAGAACGTGGGTATCTGACATATTTGGAAATATTCTCAAAAGCTTCCTAGAAGCTCCATAAGAACATTCCAAAAAGTTCTTAGAATGCTTTTTAGGAAGGTTTTAAGAAGCTTCCAAGAATCTAATTGCATCATTAAAAGGGTATCTATTGAATGTTTTAATAGTCCCTAAGAACACTCTTAGCAATAAAAGGAAGGTTCTAAGAATATTCCATTATTCCGGGTCATATCTTCCTAGAAGATTTTTAGAATCAAATTTTGCTATCAGGGTACACAAAATTATACCCAGACCAAGTACATGACTAAAATGCACATATAAAAAAAGTAGCAATGTAGCAACTAAAAATTGCTGTTCTAGGTTTTGTAAGTTATAGTAAATAAATCGTTTTAGTTTTGTTTACCAAAATCGAATTCTTCGTCGTTCATTTTGTAGCTTTGCAAACTTAATGACATTGCATTTTTCCAAGCATAATAATCAGAAGGTAAATTCCATTTTCCCAATTTTGCATCGTGATTCCAGTATGTGGACAGTGCGTCCAATTTGACCAGGTAATGAGAGTTTTCAGATTTGGGGTCTGCCTTTGAAGGTTTCCATTTGCTAAAATGAAGAGTATTTAGTTTTATATAATCTCCTCTGTGGTACCCAGAGAACCATGGTTTGAGAAAGAAATTAGTCAACTTTATCCCAACTAAGTTTGGTTTTTTACAAAAATCGAGATCGAAAATTTACATATCTTTCTGGGAAAGATAGAAATCGAAAAGATAAGTCCAGTTTGATTTATTTTACGTATAGATTATACTTAAAGGAAAAAATAAGCTGCTGTTTATAAAAATCCATGGATAAATGACTAAGTTATAAATTTTTCAGTGGAAGAGGAAAATTCAGTTTTTTCTCCATTTTTTTGAATTAGATAAAATGTAATTTTAAACATTAAATATTGAAATTATTAAACCATATATATTGAACATTGAAGAAATTAAGAGTTTTACTTTGTTGTAATAAGCATAGGTTTAAAAAACTCTGGCTCCTTCTTTGTTTTTTGTTGCTTTCGTATTCCGTTTCTCGTACGAGGGACCAAATGTAATCACCCATCATGGCTGCATCCCAGAAGCCGTGATACCGCCGCTCCATAGCCTTCATTTGCTGGTGAAAACGTTCTCCGTGCTCATCACTTACGTCGCCGAGATTGTGCGGGTTATTTACGCACTCGAACTCCTACTTCTTTTACTCATTTTACCCTTTTTATTAACTAAATAAAACCATGATAAAAATACCTTGTTGAAATATCAAAAAATAGCAGTAAAATGTCACACGAGAAACAAAATAATTCGCGTTTGCGGAGTCATGTCAAATTTAAATTTTGAATAATGTTTTCGGTGAAAAAAGTACGTAAAAAACTCAAAAAATTCTAATCATGCACTTTATTTAGGTTTTCATTAAAGACTAAACATATTAAAAATAAAAGAAAAAAATTAAATAAAAATCGTCAAAGAGCTGAATTTTGGTCCTCCACTAAAAAATTCATAACTTCGACATTTTTCCATGTATTCTTATCAACATTACACGGTGGTCAAAACTTAAGTATAGGACGAACCAAAACTGATAGCATATATTGATTATAGACCCTTTTGGTAACACTAACATGTATTTATCAAAATTCCAGCTGATCCTATTTTAAAGTTTTGCAAACTTTTTTGTTTTTCTATTTCTATATATTATTTTGCAATTATTGTACTAAAAGTACCTGTACAATTTTAATAAAATTAAGCAAAATAATAAACTTTGTATCATTAAAATTACTTTACTCCCCAGTATTAATTTATTGAGTCACCTATTATTTTTTACCACTCAAAACAAAACATAACAAAAAAAAACGAAGATTTATATATTAAATATTTTTTATAACAAAAAATACTGGAAGTTTGTCTATGAAATAATTACAACTTGCAAATTTTGTAAAACAATAATTATGGTGGTTATGAAAAAAATTGCTATACGTTATAACGCAAGTGACATTTTGCTTTAGTTGTTTATTTAATGTATACTTTATAAAGTTAAAAATAGTATTTTAAAATGAAAATTAAACCGAAATTCAAGTTAAGCCATGAAGAAAATCGAAAGAAGGTATGTGCTGGCTGAGGAGACAAAATTGTTTTTGGTAATCGAAAAATTCAGAGTTTAGGGTTTCTGAGAAAATATAAAAATTACTGCAGACTTTTTTAAACGAACACTTTAACTTAAGTGATTCAAAATTACCTACTTCAATATGGTAAAAACGGTATTTTTGCATAGCCACAATTGCCAAATTTTCAAAATTTAGAAATTGCTAGAGAATTTGGGGGCAGCCAAGAGTGTATGTGCTTTATCTGCAAAATGGCAAGATATAAAGGGCATAAAAAATTATTAAGGGGAGAGGACGGACGAACGAACTAAAGTTTTGATATGCTCTTCCTTTCTAGGGGATATCGCTAGATGTAAGAAGCATGTTTGTACAGAGACTGAAGAATTTAAAAATACTGTTTCCATGTTAAAAACAATCCCATGTAAAACCGAAGAAAAAGTTTACTGAAAATTTAAGGCAAGCAGTAATCGATTTTGCTTCAAAGAATCTTTAGTTATTTATTAGTTTTGTATTAGTTACCTTAAAACAATAAATAAGATATTGCAAACTGTATTTTACATTATTTTGTATTTATAATGTAATTTATCCATATTTCAGTCATGTATCTGCCAAATTTTAAATATCAAGGATCAGCTGGGATTTTGATAAATACATTTTTGTGTTACCAAAATAGTCTATAATCAGATTATGCGATCAGTGTTGGTTGGCATTTTTGTTCGTCCTATACTTTATAAACTAAATTTAGTTTTGACCACCGTGTTAAGGGCTTGTTTGACCAAATCGATCAATTAGATTTCAAGCTATATGTATGGCTATCTGGGTAGTGGCACTCACCTGTTGGTTGACTCAGCCGTAATACTTCCGATACACAATCCAGCAGCCACATTATTTTGCGCGTCCTCGTACCTTAAGTGTACGTTTGAAACAGTGAGCTGAAGTCTGTTCAGTAAGTTGGTGATGAGGTGTTGAGCAAAGGAAGAAGGTCCGCCCAATAGATGAACGTCATCGAGAAGTTTTTTCTTCATGGCTCTCAGAAGTGTCTTGTTTATTTCTGCGTCGAACTCGTGACCATTTACCACAGGCTCCGAGACAATGAGAACGTCTTCTATGCTTATGACGATTTGTTCCTGCCATAGTGCAGTCCATGGTATTTTCAGCCATATTTTCCCGATCGTTCCTGCTGTTACTTCGATTGGCAGTTGCAATTCATACTAAAAAATTACCACTAAAATTGATTCTTGGACTTTTAAGCGGAATTGCTTTGAATTCTGCATATGGATGATTCTACAAAAGTTGGGCAACTTTTGACCTCATTATTTTCTCATGAGAACAGACCATACCGGGCCAGTCACTTTTTCAAACAGTTTCTGAAATATCTGTGTTTTCTAAATTTGAATGCAAGGGAAGTGAAGAGTATACCAGGGTACTAATTAAATACATAATTTATTGGAAAATATAAGATTTATTGCAACTTTGAGCATATTATACATTAAATATCTTAAAATCAAATAATACCACACATCAGTGGCCGCTGGTGGATTTTGGGTATACCGATATCTCAATCATTAGATATGGGACCCACACCAAATTTATATGAGTTTATAATGACATTAAATAAACAAGTTCTGAGCAAGCAGAATTTAAATTGAAGTTTGCGAAAAAAAGATAACCGAAACATCGAACATGGAACTGACGACACGGTACTGATGAATGGGATACAAATTTCAGATTATAATTCGGAATTAAGTATTTTACTGATATTTTTTATTAGTGGATGCTACTTATCAACAAATCACTTATAGCCTTATATAAATTACAATGAAATTTATATACGTAAGAAAATAACTACTCACCACAGAACTGAAATTTTGACTATACGTGCATTCACCACAACTTCCCGCTTGAATTGTTTTCAAGATGACTGTCGTGCAAAGGTAATTTTTTACCAACACTTGAGTTAAAACGAGGACTTGACGTTTAAACTTCAATATTTCGCAGGAATTTTGAATTTTAACATTGGACACAGAACTGACGGGTTAAAGTGAGTACAAAGATTATCAATTTTTTAAAAATTGCTATTATTCGAATCCATGATAAAATATGAAAAATGCATTATTTAATGTTTTATAGTTTGTAGTAAAATTGAAAAATTTAAGATAAATGAATATATTTTAAAATAAAATCACTCAAATATTTAATTCAGGAGTTGTGACAAGCCTAGGTACTGATGTTTTGAATATTTATTATGTTTTTCTACAAACGTGCTTGAAAAAATACATTAAAATTGGGTGGAAAAGTTAAAAAAAAACCTGGATCTTTTGTAATATACTGAAATATTTACAAAAAATATTAAAATACCTACTCTATTGACTGACTGATGACATCAAGTTGTCCAACTTTTGTAGAATCACCACTATCTACGTATGAGCTTTTACTATTAAGAATCGTATAGGATTCTCCTCATTGCATTTTTTTATTTACACATTAGTCTTGGCAAAAAAAAATATATTTTAAAACTAAGCACAATAGACATTTTGTTAGCGGATTGAATGCTCTACAAATGAGAAAGTTATTCCTCTATTATTATAGCATTTGTGCCATTTTTTTTTATAAAAAAAATCATTAAAATTTTTGTAAGTAAAGTAGAAATTTTGGGCCGCAACTAGTTAATTTTATTAACTATTATAAAGTAACTTATTGGTGAAAAATTATGTTTTTTTACATACAAAATACTAATAACTATTTATTTAAATTTGGAATGCTTACCAGTGCCTCAGGTTTAATCTTTAAATCGGTAAGTTGAACTTGACCAGAAAAAATTCCTACATTTAAATTTCCGAAGTCTATGTCTGTTACATATTTTTCTAAAATTTGATTTAATATTCTTGCTACGGCTCCTTCCAACATCTGGGGTAATATAAAAAGTATAAATAAAAATTGGTAAACTTCTGCATTGGGATTGACATACTTTTAATTAACTATAGGTATTTTTGTAGTTGAATATATATTTTTTTAATTTATACACTCACAGGCAAAATAATCGATCCACACAAACTTTCGATAAATTTCAATCGCAAATAACTTGTTTATTTGATGTCGGATTTAAACGAATATTAAAAAATATTGTAGATAAATTAATGGACAATCGCTCACATTTCAAAAAATTACTAAAAAATAGACGTACGTTTATAATATACAGGTTTAAACAAAAATATGTTTTTTACCATAAGTTTAAGACACTCTGTAGAGTGTTAAAACCGTATTTTGTTCTAAACTAAGTTTTATTTATCAAGTCACATCTATTCTTAACAGTTTCGTTTTTGGTTCACCTCGATATATTTATTTTTGTGGAAAATATGTATTTTTAAAAAAAACATTGCAATTTCCAATATTTTTCTGTATGAAGAACTAAGGTTGCTATGGTCCATCCATAGGCTATGGAGAATGACAGTGACAGTTTTGTTGAATCATCACATACTTGGACATGTCATACAAGGCTTTCAAAAGTTTAAATTTTGAGGTGTCTTCTTACTTTAAAAATGGATATGTCTCCGACTGATGTTGCCAGAGCCATTAATTTAATCCAGGATGGACGGTCACAGTATAACGAGGCAAGTGTTTTAAACGTCACAAGAAGTAAAGTACAAAGGGCAACATCAGTTGGAGACATTTTTAAAAGTAAGAAGACACCTCAAAATTAACACATTAATTTACAAAAAACAATTTGATAGCTTTTGAAACCTGTATATCACATGTCCAAGTATGGGATGATTCAACAAAACTGTCACTGTCATCCTCCATAGGCTATGAATGGACCATAGCATCCTTAGTTCTTCATACAGGAAAAATATTGGAAGTTATTTTAAAAAAATTTATATTTTCCACAAAAATAAATATATCAAGGTCAACCAAAAACAAAATGTTAAAAATAGATGTGACTTGATAATTAAAATTAATTTAGAACAATATACGGTTTTGCCACTCTACAGAGTGTCTTAAACTTATGGTAAAAAACATCTTTTTGTTTAAACCTGTATATTATAAAGGTACGAGTATTTTTTAGTAATTTTTAAAATGTGTTAATTTATCTACAATATTCTTTAATATTTGTTTAAATAAAATAAAAAAGTTATTTGCGATTGACATTCATCAAAAATTTGTGTGGATCGATTATTTTGCCTGTGAGTGTAGTTGAGATAATTTTAAAATATAAATGGTATTTATTTTGTAAACATATATATTTTTGTGTAATAAGTAAATAAACACTTTTAATTCGATTAAGAATTTTTGACAGCCACGTATATTATAACCACAAAATAAGTGTAAATGCCAATGCAATAAGACACTTGTTACTACTATTACATGTTGGTGTTAATTTTTCTGTAGTTTTTTCGGACTTACCTTGTCGAAGGCTTATGAAAAACTGAAGCGGTAATGTCAAATATATTTAAGACGAAATTTCTCAATCAATGGTTTTCACGGGTGCATTTTCTCCCTCAACCGAGACACTGTTTTCACTATGTGGGTTGGTAGTTAGTTGGGGAGATTGTAAAGCGCTCAGAAGGGGAGCGGCTGAATCGTAAACTAACCTGCATAACCGGGAAACTCGTTTTTCCTCGCGAGGAAAATTTTCCGGAAAATATGTTTGAAACAATTAACACTTAAGTGTAACAATATCGATTTGGTTAAACAAGCACTTAAATCAAAGGTAATTGAGCCCTCTACAACTTTCTCTTGGATAGTTTTGGTATCGGCTCAGTAGTTCAATACTGGCGATTTTATGAAGTTGAAAAAGTCCTTTTTTACAAAAATCGAGGTCGAAAATTTACATATCTTTCTGGGAAAGATAGAAATCGAAAAGATAAGTCCAGTTTGATTTATTTTACGTATAGATTATACTTAAAGGAAAAAAATAAGCTGCTGTTGATAAAAATCCATGGATAAATGGCGAAGTTATGAATTTTTCAGTGAAAGACCAAAATTCAGTTTTTTAATATTAAACATTGATTTTTATTTTAAACATAAAATATTTAAATTAAATTATATATTGAATATTGAACAATAAATATTGAACATTGAAAAAATAGAAATTCTGGCTCCTTCTTTGTTTTTTGTTGCTTTCGTATTCCATTTCTCGTGTGAGGGACCAAATGAAATCACCCATCATGGCTGCATCCCAGAAGCCGTGATACCGCCGCTCCATAGCCTTCATTTGCTGGTGAAAACGTTCTCCGTGCTCATCACTTACGTCGCCCAGATTGTGCGGGTTATTTACGCACTCGAACTCTCTACTTATTTTACTCATTTTACACTTTTTATTAGCTAAATAAAACCATGAAAAAAATACCTTGTTGAAAATTTCAACATTTTTCTGGTATTTTTTAATATTTAATATTAAAAAATACCATAAAAATGTCACTATGCCCACACGAAAAACAAAATAATTCGCGTTTGCGGGGTCATGTCAAATTTAAATTTTTAATAATGTTATCGGTGAAAAAAGTACGTAAAAAACTCAAAAAATTCCAATTATGCACTTTATTTAGGTTTTCATTAAAGAATAAACATATTACAAAATAAAAGAAAAAAATAAAATAAAAATCATCAAAAAGATGAATTTTGGTCTTTGGTCACTAAAAAATACATAACTTTGCCATTTTTCCATGTATTTTTATCAACATTAGCTTGTTTTAAAAATGTCAGCTTCACGAAAAAAATTCAAACTGGAGTTATCTGTTTGATTTAAACCTTTCCCAGGCGATATGTAAATTTTCGACCTCAATTTTTGCCGTAAAAACGAATTTTTAAGTTACTAAAATCGCTAGCGTCAAAATACTTATCCTATATCAAAAGTATGTAAAAGAAAGTTTTAGAGGGCTCAAATACCTTCAATTTAAGGGCTTGTTTGACCAAATCGATCAATTAGATTTCAAGCTATACCTACTCAAAAACGTCAAAACACCCCTGAAAATTGAAAATTGAACAATTGAAAATTCATAAAACGCTTCCATAAAAAAAATTGAGTGTGCTGTTGTCATAACCATTTATTTTATTTACAAAATTAAGAAAAAAAGTAGTAAAGAATAAGAAAATTTATTAAAAAAAATTAAATAACTATATTATAACTATTACCTAATTTAATACAAAAAACTTAGACAAGTTATATACATATTTATAATAATTATAAATTAATATAATATAATAATTAATACGATATTATGTTTATATTATATTTGGTTTAAAAGGTAACTATCTGAAATACAATTATATATATATATTATAATAAATAAAAATATCTTAAAATTTAAATATAGGTGTAGAAATTATAAAGCAAAATAAAAAAATTCAATCACATCAAAATATATTCGTTTGATAATTAAAATCTGGCCGGTACAAATTTCTCAATTTTTGTATACACCTTTTCCAAAGTTATTTGCTCACTGTTGCTACCATCTAACTCCGTTATTCTTTAGACTACAAAGGCTACAAAGTCAGTTAAATAAGCAAATTTTTGGCATTTTTTCTTCTGATGTAAATGGTGAAAACAAAGAATCAACTATTTGTCAGGTTTTCGAAATATTCACAAAAATATCATTCTGTATATTTTTACATATTTTGAACTTAAACTTTCTGAGGATGGTTGTAAAAACAAGTATACAATTATAACTATCTCAATCGGTAATAATATAGAACGACTTTATTTTAGGTCCTATAGGACAAAAAAGTTACTTTGGTGGCAAGATTTTTGTTTTTTTGTTAAGAGCAGGGCTGTGTTTAAATTACAATAAAAAATATTTTTAAAAAGTGTACAGATCAGTGTGTGGTATAAATGTGTTCCTCATGGTTTTAAATATTGTCACTTTAATGCGTTTTAATTTTAATTCTGAAAACGAACAGTAAAATGGCCAGTGTCCAATTACTGGTTGGTAAAAAATGTAAATTTCTATTATTGGATATATATGTCCAATATCATACTCCATTTGTATCCCGGATATTTACCATCCAATTCTTATGTAAAATTGTCCCTTGAATCCGAAAAGACCGTCAAAAACTATAAAAGTTAAGCAGTTTTTGAGATATAGTCAATTCCATATTATATGAAAAATTGATTAATAATTATTATATTTCAAAAACTGTTCTACTTTTATAAACTTTGACACAGGACATCTTGCAGAATAACAGTGATTTAAATACAGTGCATGATAGAGGACATAAAAAACTAATGGCAACAAAGGAATTAGAATCCGAGAAAAAAATATATGAATAATATGATATTTACAAAAACGAAATAAAAAAAATTACCTAAAACAGCAATTTATCTTTAAAAAATATTTAACAATTTATGTTATTTGCTGTAAAGTTGTTAATTTTATATAAAAATTGTATGTCCAATAACTATGGTCCATGTGTCCAATTACTATATAAAATGTCCAATTACTATACTTTTTTGCATGTTTTTATAAAACTATTATTAAAAATTCAAATATTCTTATTTTTAAATAAACGCAATTAAAGTTTAAACAAACAAACTATACTATTTAAAACAACGGCATATTAATTGTCCAATAACTATGTGGTTTACCCTAGTTATACAATAATAGTTTTTTTTTCCAAATTAAGGTCTGTCAAAATATGTAAAAAATATACAGGGTGTTATTTTTGTGAGTGTTTCGGAGACCCGAAGTTCAATTGTTTTTCTGTTTTCCCCATTTTAATCAGAGGAAAAAATACCAAGTTAGCAAATAACATTGCAATGGTCATAAAGTAAAAAAATCAGTTTTTATAAATCTTTACATTTTCACAAGTATTTAGTTTTATATTGTGATTATAAGTACTTAGCCCTATATTAATAAAAATAAATAAATATTAAATATGATACATTATTCCTCTTTTTTTAATATAACACTTTCAGGGACAGCTGTTGCACCACATTAAGGACTATTAAATCTAGGGTTGCCAGACCTTCTATATTTAACTACATTTTCTGTCTTTTATGCTTCTAAAATATAGAAGCAAAATATTCTATATTTTAGAGTTTTAGAATAAAAAAATGTAGTTGCAATGTTGAGTTTATATTTATGTATTTATTGAGTTGAATTTAAAATAAAATGTTTAATCAATAGTATTTTGGTATTTTTTGTTTGAATTTAACAAAATATGTTTAGTATAAAGGGTGAAACTACCATTTTCATTTATTTCTGGCAACCCTAACTAAACCAATGCAGAATTTAAATATAAAGGAAAGTCCTATACAAATAAAATAAAAATGTGTCAATATTATATCTACTAATTTTTTTAAAATATATTATATAGAGTGTTCTCTAACTTAAATGACATTATTTTATAGAAATTTTGCCATATTAAAATGATTTTCACACTAATATAGTGATTTAAAGCTTTAATTTAAGTAATTTTAACGTTACAATATAAAAGAGATAAATGTAAATAAGTAAAAAACTATTTACATGCAGGAACTAAAACATTTAAATTAAGTTAAGACGATTAAAAAACAAATCGTACGCGTATTTTAAGTGTTATTGTTTGTCCTATTTGTTTCGCTCATTGCACTTAATCTTGGTCCTTCTTCCTTGATGGAGTTCCGCAAGGGTCCGAAACCTGTCTCTGGCAGCAGTAGAACCGACGCACCGCCAACTATTCCGAAAAATGATATCAACAGCATCGGGAGCCCTTTGAAAATGTCAGCCTGAAAATAAGGAAGTTTTTAGAAAGTAAAAAGATTATTATTAAGGGTTTTTAATAAGAGTGATAGATAACCTAATAGGGAAATAGAAATTTGCGCTTCATATACGTCACACATTGCCGATACAACATCATGCTCCCCACCGCTGCACGGTGCCGCCGGCACCCCCGCAAGGCGGGGATAATACGCGAATTTTTGAAGACATTGAGGCCCACAAAGTTGGGCTTGTACCACAGTATATGGAAGACAGCAGAGTCAGTCCCGAGATCTGCGCGGCCTGCTTATCAGCCGTTGTAAAAGACTGGGCGGGGCGTGGAATGTTTTAGTAAACAAAGCTTATTAATTAGATCTATGCGTGTTTATAGTTTCTTATTTCTGTTTAGTCTTTGCCTTAGCGTTAAAATGGAAAGTTGGGATAAAAATGCAAGCGTAAAATACATTATTGTGTTGTGAATTCATGTAAAAATAATTCAAACAATTGTAAAAGATAATTTTTATTTTAATATACTATTATATTAACACACAAATACCACAGTAAAAATCACAAAAAATATAAATAAAAATATGCATGTTTTTTTATAGTTCAGTGTTAAATCGTTGAGTTTCATATACCTACTGTGCTTGTACATTAATATTTTGTTGTTGTGCGGTTGTGCCTTTATTAATCTAAAAATAATTATTGCAAGATAGGTAAAAATGAGCAGTACCTCCTGGGTAATGTGGAAACCTGCTGAAGGAATAAATAAAAATCTCACCTCGTCCCGCACTTTTTGTATTATTCTAGCTACACTGTTTAAAATATCTGTGGTGTAAAAAGTAATCTTAAAATGGTGTCAAAATCCAACACCAAGTGGTGTTAATATAACACCATGAATTATGGTTGAAAATGTGTACCGATCGCGGCAAAGGCGGTGTAGATTACGTGATGTTCTTAAATCTCGCTTTTGTTGACTTACATGAAGAATATATAAACTCAGGTAATCCTTTGCTTTGGTGTGACACTACAAGTTGTTCGATACTAAAGAGACCTTAAATAGGTGGAAACAGCTGTCAATACTTGAAGTATTTTAAGTTAGTGCAACGCACTAAAAACATTATCTCTAGCGAGTTGAAGGTTCCATTTTCTGGAATAATACCACTGGTAATATACTTGTAATGCGTCAAGGAACTTCCTGTTGCCTTTTTTTCCCTTTTTTCTGTGTAGTATGATTTAATTTGTCCACAAACACATAATATTTAACACTGAAAAGGAGTTCAATTTACACCAAGTAAAATTTATTTTAATACTGTGTGAAAGGTAAATTAACACCATTTTAGTATTTGAATTTACACCGGACCAACGAACCTTATTTAACACCATTTTGGTTTGTATCGATATAGACCATGTTTGGTGTTAAAATGGTCATGAAATTTTGAACAGTGTAAATTTTGAAAATTCTTTAGATTCTGAAGTGCTCCAAAAACGCGAGACCTTGAAAATTTCAAAAAAAATTGCCTGCGGCTCCATATAGCGGTTCAAGGGCCTCACCTTAATGAATGGTCACGAGTCGCCACTGAATTACAGCAGGATCGAAATAACAAGGCCAACGTTGATCAAAGATCCATCACTCTTAATGAAAAACCCTTTAGGTACTTACGAATGTATGATACTTACAAGGTACCACAGGGTAGGCACGAGCATAAGGGCTATTCCCGCTGAAACATTCGCCGCCCCTACACCGATATTCCTTATGGTAGTAGGGTACAATTCTGCGGTGTAAACGGGCATTATGGCATTGGAACTGCTAATGCACAGTTTGCTAATCATCGTCAGCGTGGTGCTCAGCCATTGGAGTTTCGGAGCGAACATATCAATGGGAATGGTAAAAATGCACACCCCAGAAATGATCATGGTGAGAGCTAAAGGCCATCTACGGCCCCCTTTCACAAGGATCAGGATGCTTACAGCTATGGCGGGGACCTCCACTGCTCCCATCAGTGCCTGAAAAAAAACATATCAGCATGAAAAAAGAATCAGTTTACTACAACCCTGATAGCACCCTTTATTCTAAGAATGTTTTTTAAACCTTCCAGTGAGAATATTCTTAGGATCATGCTATATTTCTTCTAATGAACATGCTTAAAAGACATATAGCATGATCCTAAGAATATTCTTACTGGCCTATAGGCAGGTTCTTAGAAAGTGCAAAGTTTTAGTGGTAAAAATTAGTCTACTCTAAACATATGCTTAGAATGTTAAGAAAGTAATTGCTATAGAAAGTTCATTTAGGAATATTCCTGTTGAGCATATTTAGTTCAGTTACCTATATAATAGTAAAATATACCATAAACTACGTATAAAGGTATATACCTATACGTAACTACCTAATTAGTAATTAGTATTAAATATTAAGTAAAAAACACAATCCAAAATATTTTTTTATAGTTATATGTCAAATTAAAACAATTTTCGATGACAAAAATACTTTTACTCTAGGTTTATGTTAAAAATAAATACTTATTAATTTATATACCGATTTTTTATTTCTGAATTAATATTTTTATGTATAATAATCTTCAACTTCAATCTAATCTGACTTATCCCACAAAATTTTCCAATTTTTTTTTTATGAAATTATGCCATACAACTTATGGTTTAGAGGTCAAAACTTTTTAAGGGGACGACAAATACATTTCACTGTCATATGACAGTGAAGCGTATTCGTCGTCTACTGAAGAATTTTACGAATGTAGAATACAACATATTAGAACGTGGGTATCTGACATATTTGGAAATATTCTCAAAAGTTTCCTAGAAGCTCCATAAGAAACCTTCTAAGAACATTCCAAAAACGTATTCTTAAAATGTTCTTAGGATGCTTTTTAGGAAGGTTTTAAGAAGCTTTTAAGAATCTAATTGCATTATTAAAAGGGTATCTATTGAATGTTTTAAAAGTCCCTAAGAACATTCTTGGCAATAAGGGAAGGCTCTAAGAATATTCCATTATTCCGGGTCATATCTTCTTAGAAGATTCTTAAAATCAAATTTTGCTATTAGGGAAGGCCTTCCCAGATAGCACACAACGTCTTGAAGATCTAAAAAAGACGTCTGGAAGACGTCTTAAAGATATCTTCATTTAATGTTCTAAAGACATCTTATAAATGCCTGATACCGACGCTTATTTTTTTTTTTTGATAAAATAGTGAATTTTGACAAGTCAAAATCGAAAGTATACCCATAATCAGCCACTTCATAGTAATTTATAATTTGGTACCATTTTATTTTGGTGTAATAGAAACAACATTAATGTAGGATTTTGAGTTTTGACAACGATGATGGGTAGGGTAACTAAATAAACATATATCTGACATTCTTGTAGATTGGTTATTTTTCCTACAATTAATAATATCCATTTGTAATAAAAATATTATAAACAAACATTAAGACAATATAAACTTAAAATAACCCAGCGAAAGTTTTTAAATCAAATTACCCGCACATTTCCCACAATGCAATGAAATCATCAAATCTGCTGTTCTCTTCTATTTCACCAAGCGCTGATATGTCTGCCTATTTTCAATTCTTAAATAACTCGTAACTAAATGCAGATTGCAGACATCCAACGCCATTTTTGCTTCTTGTAAGTATGTTGAATTTGGGTGAATGGTATTTCTAATCGTGGCGGTTTTTCTTTTTTATGTTCCCGTTCGACGTTCAACAACTCAAGTGACAAGTCAAAGTAGTGTGCACTGCACCCCGTGCAGTGTTGGTTTTAGATTTTTTTTGTGAATTTGGTGTCGCCTTCAAAATAGTCGCCATTGAATATTATGCACATGTGCCAGCTCTTCTTCCAATACTCTAAACACTTCTAAAACTCGATCTTTGGGATAGCCTTTAATTCTTTCAGCGATGCGCTTTTAATGTCATCTATGCTTGCAAAACGACGGCCCTTTAAGGTTCTCTTTATTTTTGGGAATAGGAAAAAGTCAGACTGAGGCGTGTCTGGCGAATATGGAGGCTGGGGCATCATTACAGTATTGTTTTTGGCCAAAAATTATGTTCAAAATTTAATACTTTTAGAACAAATTTTGCTGCCACGCGTTTCATACCCGAAACATTCGAAAAATTTCATGGGATGAGCGAATCGATATACCAACATCATCAGCGACTTCTCTGATGGTTTATAACCATTTCTTCCACTTTTATCGGTTGTTAATGCGCTTGTGCGTTCGGGGCGTTCGTCATCTTCAACGTCTTTACGGCCATCTTGAAAACTCTTATACCACTTGTAAACTCTTGTTTATAGCAAACTCACTATAGGCCTTTGTTAACATTTCACAGAATTTATTTCATTTTTTAAGCAAAATTGGATACAAATTCTTTGATCCATTTCTTTTAAGGAACGAAAAATCGCCGAGCTCATAAAACACGTCTAACCTTAGCGGCTGCCACAGACAAAGTAAACAATGAAAATAGCTAAAGTTTTTATCATACTTCGGGGCCGTTAAAACGACATCTTAAAGATTATGTGTTTTGTAAAATTATATATCTTAAAGACGTCTTAAAGATGACTTACGTCATAAACTGGTCGTCTCAAAGATGTCATAAACGTCCGAGTCCGACATCTTTAAGATATCTTTAAGATGTCTCTGTGCTATTTGGTACTATACACCTTATAATTTTAATACTTACTGAATTAATGTATAAATTGCCTCCAATCTCGCCCAAGTTGAGCATAAGTCCGTAATACACCAAGTAAACACTAAACCAAATGAGAAACAATATCAGAGTTCTTTTTCTCATTGTCGCAGTCCTAAAAAGGTCCAGCACTCCAGCGTCCTGTTCGCTACCGTCCACGTCAATCGTTTCGGGAAGAAGTTGTTTGTCTATATTCGCCGGTAGAGTGCGCTTATTGGTTCTAGCCGCATCTTCCAGGATCACCATCACTTCTTGCGTTCTGCCCATAGCCAACAGCCATCGAGGGGATTCAGGTAGTACCCACCTGTAAGGAAGATTGGTTTAATATTCTACTGCTACGTAGGGTAAAGTAGACAGTTATCGGACACCTTATAGTTATTGGACAAATCATTAGATGACGCTGTATACAATTATAACTAAGTCAGTCGGTAATAATATAAAACTAATTTATATAGGACAAAAAGTTCGCACGTTACTTTGGTGGTAAGATTTTTGTTTTGTTTTCAAAAAACACCAAATTCCAATAACTTTGTTAAAAATTATCGGATCTTATTGATTTAAAAACCAAGTGAAAGCATAATAAGCCCTTAGTAAACTCTTTCAGAAAATGTTTGTTTAGTTATTTCAGAATATTTTTTTTTTAAATTTGAAACTTGTGAAACACATATTTTTCCATGTCTTACTTACATACATTTTTTTTAATATTGAATAACCAGAACTTTGTGTTGCTTTATAGCAATCCATAACATCCTTAGTTAATACAGTAAAAAATTTATATATAAATTCATTCTTTTTAATCTACTTTTTTTAAATTTGACTCATGTCCCAGACATTTTTTCCGTTGCGTTACGTCCGTCGCGTTACCGATAGAATATTAAAAAAAACCATATATATGGCAACTTTTTAGGCACTCTCGTGATCAACAAATGATGTTCGGACGTACACATTACCCAGCTGAATTTATTTATTCAATCAGGAAGAAGATATCGGTTGAAACAGGTGCGGGTAACGCGAATGTAATAATTGTTTGTCCGCTAAGTTACTCAAAAAAAAATAATAAAAATAAGGTAAGAAAAAATACTATTTTTCATGTTTATGTTTATTTTAGGGCACTAAAGCTCATTGAGATTAATTAATAACTTTAATGTCTTATTATATTTTTTAAATATGGTTTCACAAAACTTTTTCCACTGCGTTACCGAGTCAATTATGTTATGGTAACGCAATGAAATTTAGAGTAACGCAATAGAATTTTTCGACAACAAAGTGGATATTTACCGTCGCTTTTATTAAAAGTAGTTTATGATAAACCAATTTAAAATTATTTGTGATTGCAACTCATGATATAGAATACATCCAAGGGAAAATTCCACGCAATATACAAGTAATAAAAGGGACCTTCACCAGCTTATAGTCAAAGAAAAAGGGTGTCTACAATTTAGAAATCTAAGTTGTTATTCTGCAAGTGAGCACCAATACAAGGGATTTTGTTTATAATATAAATAAATGCATTACTCTAAAATCGTACCACCCTATATATGTATGTAGTTTCTTTTTTACGTTATCTGATTAAGTCCTTTGTGTACCCCAGTCCGTTGTGATACCAATGTCTATTTCAGTTTTTTTTTTAGTTTTTGTTAAAAAAAATACTTAAAATGATTTTTATACACTATCACTTGGTAGTTTAATTCACTAATACAGTGACTAAAAGAAAATATTAATGCTATTGTTTATTTAACAAAGAATCGGAATGGTTTCTTTTAACTTAACGAACATAAATATTTAAAAAAAAGCATACAATTTTTAATAAAAAATAAAATAAAAAATTGTGAACTAAGTACATTTTATTTCAAATTATTTTTATAACAACTTTTTTTTATTGAATTAAATTTTGGATTTGGTAACACAGTGGAGATAAACATATTAAGCTAGCTAAACACATTTTTCTGAAAAAAACGTAAAAAAAATTAAAAAGTGCACTGCCTTTCTTAAAAGTAAGTAAACAAAACTCTAAACTTTTATAAAAATCCAACCAAAAGTAAATTTAAGCAAAAAAAAATTTGATCTTCATTTTCCTGAAAGCGGGTGTTTTTTGAAAATGACCCATATATAAATCATTCTGTTCTGACCTAAACATTATAAATGCTTCACAAACTAGAGATACCACACTTAATAATTTTTGCAACAAACTATTTCAGACCAAGAAATTAGTAGTTACCTTCAGAATCCAGAAACGGGATGAGGAATCCGAGGAAGAAATATATGATATTTACAAAAACGAAATAAAAAAAATAGCTAAAATAGCAATTTATCTTTAAAAAATATTTAACAATTTATATTATTTGATGTAAAGTTGTTATGTTTATATAAAAATTGTCCAATTACTATATAAAATTTCCAATTAGGTACTATTCTTTTTTGCATGTTTTTATAAAACTAATATTAAAAATTCAAATATTCTTATTTTTAAGTAAACGTAAATAAAGTTTAAACAAACCAACTATCCTTTTTATATATTTATAAGAAAAAAACTAAAATCTTTAAAACAACGGCACATATAAATTTTAAATAAATAATATTCCTTAAGTGTCCAATAACTATGTGGTTTACCCTATAACACGATTTTCCTTCCATAAATTTTTTTAACAGATTTTAAAAATAAAGGTTAATAAACGCACCCATGTCTCATCGTTTTACGAAACTTCCAATGGACAACGATTGTGAAACACCCTGTATATCAAATGGTGTTTTTTAGGTTGTGATACCACTATAGATTCTAAAGCAATGTATAATCGTCAAACTAAAAGATCAAGATTTGTTTCCAACATATATTTAATTTAAGATAAATACAAATCTGTTGCTTTCTTAAAAACAAATCAAAATTGCAAAAAAAATTTAATTCGATGATCTGCATAGGGGTGAATATATTGAGACGTCCCCAAAGTGAAAATGATTATTTTTTATTTTTGGTTGTTTCACTGTTAGTCTAGAATGAGGTTTTTGGGAAGCCACCAGGTCTAGTAATAACATAACATAAGTGGTTCTGCACTAATGCAAGAGTTTTAAGAAATCATACATTTTGAATATTAGAGCTTCACGGAGGTTAGGATTTCGTATGTTTTTTTTAAACATCCCTTCGTACATTTAAAATAAGTTATTGTATCTTTTGACACCTTAATGTTTTTTAAAATTACAATTGTACATACATAAAATATTTATAAAAAAATCTACTTACTGAGATATTACACTTCACGGTGGATAGGTTTTTAAATAGCAAATTAATGAAGTTAAACTTTTGAATTATAAAACAGCAACACTCTCATCTGCATATAAATTCTAACTGACCTTCAGGAATCACATGCATCTATAATGTCGTAAACAGAGATTTTTGCTTATTTAAAATGATTAAAGCGCCATCCGTTGCATAAAATTTAAAGCGAAAACAGATTCACGGAGGATAGAATCAATTCATGTAACACCTACATAAGTGGTTATAAAAATTATTTCTTTTAATTTTTAATAATGTTTTATATTTGATTCTATTGCTTTGGATGAGTTTAATTTACTTAGTGAACTGATATTTTTAGTGTGCTTTTACTACCTCAGATATTTGAAAACATATAGGTTAACCTAGAAAGAGTAACAGTCACGGAGGATAGGTTTTAGACTATATATCACTAAATATCACGGGGTAACACCATCGGGGGACATTTCGTGAGATTCACCCAGATAAATCTAACGCTTACCACAAAATGATGAACATAAATCCTGGAAGGGAGATGGCTAGTTGTAGTTGCCGCCAATCTCTAAGCATATATCCCATTCCCGCTATCGTCATGTAACTGAGAGATACAGGAAACAGGTACGATATGCCGGCAACGGTCCTCCAATGGCCCGCTACTAGCTCTATGGCCAGCACAAAACCGCTGAACACAACGGAAACGGAAATGAAGCCTAGCGCTGCTCTCAGGATGAAGTACAGCTCAAACCAGGGGGCAAATGCGATAAGGGTTCCTGCAAATATTTCATTTTGAAAAATCAATTTTGTTCGATTTTTCTTCTGTATACGATTCTGCAATAATTTTTCTATGAAAATATCACTTCTTTTGGTAATAATTATCTTATTAAATTAAATCTGATTTTTGTTAAGTACCCACGATTTCTTAACTAATATTTAAGTTTCCTTTGGTTTAAGTTTTGTACATTATTTCATTCGGTGATAATTATCAATTGCGCACCATGGTCACTTTTTACCTGCCAGGTTAACATTATTTTGTCAATTAATTAATGTAATCTAATTTAGGTATAAAGAAACTATTTATAGTTTAGCCTTATTGAATCAATTTAGTTCGAAGATTAATTTGCAAACAAAAAGACCTTTCGTTAAGCAGTTATTCATAAAGGTTTTTTTAACAGTGGAAGAAAAAATAGAAATGATTTTGATTTATGGAGAAGCAGGCAGGAATCTTGATGATGCTGTTAATATCTACGCTCAGCGTTTTCCGGATAAAATTCGATCGCGTACGTCATTTCACCGTAAGCAGTTTACTACAAACGGGAGTGTTCAACCGAAAAAAAGAGTTCGTCGAGCAACAGTCACAGGTGAAAATAATGAAATTAATGTATTAGCAGCAACGGCCGCTAATCCTCATGCAAGCACACGAGAATTATCAAGAGATATATCCCAGAGCAGTGTTAGCAGAATATTAAAATGAAATAAATAAATAAATATAAAAAGTATTTTATTCACTAATTATTGGAGAATCGTATACAGAAGAAAAATCGAACAAAATTGATTTTTTTCATTACAGCGCCATCTATTACAAATATGAAAAAATGTTTTAGACAAAATCTACCTATTTTTAGTCGAATGATCCGAATCTTCAATAAAAAATAGTTTGTTCCATTGGAAATTGGACTCAACTCACCTATTATGCTCTGAATAAGTACCGAACACATCAGAGTCTTCTTCCTGCCAAATTTATCTGACATAATTCCACAAATGAGTCCTCCAAATGCTACCCCAGCCAAAAATGTCATTTCGGCTAGAGTGTTCAAGTTTTTTCTATCACAGACCAAGCTAAATTCGGAAATTATCGTTTCGCCTGAAAATAATATTAAATATCTACTTTATTTCAAAAGATTTGCGTTTTAGAAACAAACAGTTTTACTATAAGAAGCATTACAATTCTGCGCCATTTGAGAAAAAGTGGATGCGTCTTTTTATATCTTTTATCTTCAGTGTAAAACCATGTCTCATTATGATTTTCTTGTGTAGTTTGGATCACTAAACGCGAAAATCACACTTAATTTTTTTTTCATGGAAGCGTTTTTTTTTTAATTTTCTGAAATGTTTTGACGCTTTAGAAAATACTTTGAGTTCTAATTGATCGATTTGACCAAACAAGCATCAAAGGTAATTGAGCCCTCTACAACTTTCTTTAGTATAGTTTTGGTATCGGCTCAGTAGTTCGATACTAGCGATTTTATGAAGTTGAAAAGTCCTTTTTTTTACAAAAATCGAAGTTTTCTTCAGTTTATTGAATTATATAAAATTTAATATTGAACATTGATTTTTATTTTAAACATTAAATATTGAAATTAAATTATATCTTGAATATTGAACAATAAATATTGAACATTGAAGAAATTGAAAGTTTTATTTTGTTGTTATAAGCATAGGTTTAAAAAAATTCTGACTCCTTCTTTGTTTTTTGTTGCTTTCGTATTCCGTTTCTCGTATGAGGGACCAAATGTAATCACCCATCATGGCTGCATCCCAGAAGCCGTGATACCGCCGCTCCATAGCCTTCATTTGCTGGTGAAAACGTTCTCCGTGCTCATCACTTCGTCGCCCAGATTGTCCAGGTTATTTACGCACTCGAACTCTCTAATTCTTTTACTCATTTTACACTTTTTATTAATTATTATATATAATATTTATAATAAATATTCTGGATTCATTATCAGCACCCCTGACTCTACATAAAAAAAATAAAACCCGACTACCATCAAGTTTTCCTTTTACAATATTTGTTTCCTGGACTTGTTCTTTTTGTAAAAATGTCAGATTCACGAAAAAAAAATCAAACTGGAGCTATCTGTTTGATTTAAGCCAATTTTTTAAGTTATTAAAATCGCTAGCGTCAAAATACTTATCCGATATCAATAGTATGTAAAAAAAAGTTTCATAGGGCTTAAATACCTTCAATTTAAGGGCTTGTTTGACCAAATATATCAATTAGATTTCAAGCTATACTCAAAAACGTCAAAACACCTCCGAAAATTGAAAAAAAAAAGATTTATAAGAATAATTTACTATACTATTCATTTTGATTTAGTAATTTAGTTGTCAATGCAACGTGATTTTATCTATTAGGCACGGTGGTCAAAACTTAAGTATAGGACGAACAAAAATGCCAACCAAAACTGATAGCATATTTTGATTATAGACCCTTTTGGTAACACTAACATGTATTTATCAAAATCCCAGCTGATCCTATTTTAAAGTTTTGCAAACTTTTTTGTTTTTCTATTTCTATATATTATTTTGCAATTATTGTACTAAAACTACCTGTACAATTTTAATAAAATTAAGCAAAATAATACACTTTTTATCATTTAAATTACTTTACTCCCCAGTATTAATTTATTGAGTCACCTATTATTTTTTACCACTCAAAACAAAACATAACAAAAAAAACGAAGATTTATATCTTAAATATTTTTTATAACAAAAAATATTGGAAGTTTTTCTATGAAATAATTACAACTTGCCAAATTTTGTAAAACAGTAATTAAGGTGGTTTTAAAAAAAATTGCCATACGTTATAACGCAAGTGACATTTTGCTTTAGTTGTTTTTTAATGTATACTTTATAAAGTTAAAAATAGTATTTTAAAATGAAAATTAAACCGAAATTCAAGTTAAGCCATGAAGAAAATCGAAAGTAGGTATGTGCTGTGGAGAAAAAATTGTTTTTGGTAATCGAAAAATTCAGAGTTTAGGGTTTCTGAGAAAATATAAAAATTACTGCAGACTTTTTCAAACGAACCCTTAACTTAAGTGATTCAAAATTACCTACTTCAATATGGTAAAAACGGTATTTTTGCATAGCCACAATTGCCAAATTTTCAAAATTTAGAAATTGCTAGAGAATTTCGCAGCAGCCAAGAATGTATGTGCTTTATCTGCAAAATGGTAAGATATAAAGGGCATAAAAATTTGTAAGGGAAGAGGACGGACGAACGAACTAAAGTTTTGATATGCTCTTCCTTTCTAGGGGATATCGCTAGATGTAAGAAGCATGTTTGCACAGAGACTGAAGAATTTAAAAATACTGTTTCCATGTTAAAAACAATTCCATGTAGTAATTCCAGTTTTGGTTGGCATTTTTGTTCGTCCTATACTTTAGTTTTGACCACCGTGTAGGGTTTCCTTGATTCATGAAAAACATTTATGGAAAACATGATTTAATATTTTGCATCAAAAACCTAACTAAGTGGAAGGTACCATTTCATTAAAACAACAGGGTTGTCACATTTCTGTCCAACCAAATACTCACCTTTCCCGTCAAACTCCCAACTGCCGCAAGGCACAGTTCCCACCCCGTTCATGTCGCACTCTAAAATAAACGACTCGTTCATCGACGACACATCGTACATGTGACAATAGTCTTGTTTTAGTTGCGTACAGTTTCGCCAAGTCGAAGACGGCACACCTTTAAATTCACTCGACCTCGCGCACCACATGTCCCTTTTGGCCCCGTAAAGGGTAGGAGCGAAAATGTGCCAAGTGCACGGTATGTTGAACAGAGAGAGGAGAAAGGTGTGCTTCAGTTGCCAGGGACCGAAGGAACCGATAGCCCTGGATACCACATCCTCCTCGTCCTCGTCCAGGGGCTTCTTCTTCTCCTCCGACATGACTGAAATTAGGAAAAATATCTCATTTACTACACAAATTTTCGATGAATTTCAATCGCAAATAACTTTTTTATTTGATGTCGGATTTAAACGAATATTAAAGAATATTGTAGATAAATTAATGGACAATCGCTCACATTTTAAAAATTACTAAAAAATACACGTACGTTTATAATATACAGGTTTAAACAAAAAGATGTTTTTTACCAAAAGTTTAAGACACCCTGTAGAGTGGCAAAACCGTATATTGTTCTAAATTAAGTTTTATTTATCAAGTCACATCTATTCTTTACAGTTTTGTTTTTGGTTCACCTCGATATATTTGTTTTTGTGGAAAATATGGATTTTTTAAAAAAACATTGCAATATGTCATACACGGCTTTCAAAAGCTATCAAATTGTTTTTTGCAAATTAATGTTTAAATTTTGAGGTGTCTTCTTACTTTAAAAAATGGATATGTCTCCAACTGATGTTGCCAGAGCCATTAATTTAATCCAGGATGGACGGTCACAGTATTACGTGGCAAGTGTTTTAAACGTCACAAGAAGTAAAGTACAAAGGGCAACATCAGTCGGAGACATTTTTAAAAGTATGAAGACACCTCAAAATTAACACATTAATTTACAAAAATCAACTTGATACCTTTTGAAAGATGTATATGACATGTCCAAGTATAAGATGATTCAACAAAACTGTCACTGTCATCCTCCATAGGCTATGGATGAACCATAGCAACCTTAGTTCTTCATACAGGAAAAATATTGGAAATTGCAATGTTTTTTAAAACAAATTCATATGTTCCAAAAACAAAACTGTTAAAAATAGATGCGACTTGATAATTAAAACTTAATTTAGAACAATATACGGTTTTGCCTCTCTATAGAGTGTCTTAAACTTATGGTAAAAAACATCTTTTTGTTTAAACCTGTATATTATAAACGTACGTGTATTTTTTAGTAATTTTTAAAATGTGAGCGATTCTCCATTAATGTATTCACAATATTCTTTAATATTTGTTTAAATCAGAAATCAAATAAAAAAGTTATTTGCGATTGAAATTCATCGAAAATTTGTGTGGATCGATTATTTTGCTTGTGAGTGTATAATGAAGCAACAATGTTGAGCTTTTATAAAAAAAATGTTCATCCAACAAAGTAATAGTTGTTATCATATTGCCATTGGCAATAAGAAATACTTTATGTTTATATTAAATCTTTGTCGATCTTAAAATGTTTTTGTTAAATCTATAGTTGTGTGTAGGGTTGGGAAAATTTCACTTTTTGCTTGTACTTGAAACTTCACATGAAATTTTCACGACATTTATGAAATTTATTAAAATTTCCTAAATGTCTGAAATTTTATAAAATTTATGAAATTTATTGAAACTTTCAATAAATTTCAATCACTTTAAGTGTAATATATTAATATTGAAATAAGCACACTCGGTGACCATGGCAAATTGCCTCTCTTACCTCCTACCCCTCTGTAGGACCCTACACCAATAATATAAATAGTAAATACCTATGTCTACCAAAAATTTCTTGAGATTTCTTTTTAAAATATTTTTTAAAATTACTAAAACTATTGTTATAAGAGAGATATAGCACTTTTTGGTAAGCTAATGAGATTGTGCCACTTTCATTGTTATATATTTATATATATTTATTATTTTTACATATTTTACTGAAATTTTACAAAAATTGAAGAAACTTCATCAAAATTTTATGAGCCAAAGGCATTTTTTATCCGTTTTCCGATGCAATTGTAGCAAAAGTAAAAGTTTAAATTAATCATGACTTAAAAAAAAATTGAAGTCTGATTTAATTTACAAATTAAATTGGTAACTGAATTAAATTAATTAATTATTTATAGTGTATTCAAATCCAAGTCGAACTAAACAAAAATGCCCAGACGCTTGATAACTCGTTCTTATTGGTCGATTCGGAATCTGTTGTAAATTATTATGTGAAATTTATGCGAAATTTTCAGTAAATTGCGAAACTTTCAATGAAATTTCTGAAAGTTTCACAGGCAATGTTGAAATTTTCGAATTGAAAATTTCATTTGAAATTTTTAAACTAAACGAAATATTTCAAGTTTGAAACTTTCAAAGTTAAAATTTTCATTTGAAATGTGAATTGCGCTTACTTGTTATAGTAAAATTTGTTCATTTTACTACGGCATATTTCTCTTTTTTAAGTTGCTATCGTTGTAATTCAAATTTATTTTATTTCAGTTAAAAAATCTTTGTTAATAGCTTTCGTTAAAAACAATAAGAAAATATTTTATTGCTATAAAAAGACTTTTTTAATTTTTACTATTGTTTTGCAATGGTAACAAAATTTTTGTTATTTCCCTTAAAAAGAGGGGGAAAGGGCCAACGCTCTCCTTGGTGAACATAACTTTATAATCCAGTCTGTGTTATAATCTTATCGATTTCACTTGTGCGAGTGAAGTGTGGTAAAATATAGCATGATAAAGTGTGGTAAAATATAGCATGATAAAAATATCAAAAAGATCACTAAGAAAATTTAGAGGTTTTCTAAAAGAAATATTTAAGGTATATTCTATGAATAAAGCAGACTTGTTATTTAAAAAGTGAGTTCATATTTTTTTTTATTTTGTACATCATATAATATGAGTTAATTTTTTTGTTATAATAAATAATTTGTTTTAATGCCTTGCAATTATTTAAAAAAAAAATACCCAACATTAAACAGTAGGTTGAAAATGTGACCATTGTTACAATGAAAATGGTTTATTGAATTAACAATTAATTTCTTGTTAAATTTACATACATTAATATTATAAAAAAAGTTTTATTTTAAACGAAAAGGGATTTGTAAAATTTACAAAATTTCTATGAATAATACCATTAGGGTTTTATTAATACTAAAAAATGTTTTTGTAAACGGTATAGAACTGTTTTTTGGACAAATAATAATAACTATATTTATCAATGCGTTTCTGCATCTGGAAGAGTGTTATTTTTATAAACATAACGTAAATTTACTTTATAATTCATGCAAATTCTATTACTGAAAGCAGCGATTGTAGATAAATAATTTTTATAAAAATGACCTTTTTGCCGTAACAAAAGCAATTGTTGGACGAATAGGGATCTTTACTTTATTAAGAAAAACTATTTTTTTTGTTTGAGTTTATAAATGCATTTTTATAATTTTTTCTACTCCCACCTATAAAACGCCCTTTATCGTACATGTTTCCATGACATTAAGTGACCTTTTAAATACACATTGATAAGTTGTGGCTTTATGGCGCTTTAGTCACGGGCTGAAGTTAGCAACAGGTTTTTAGTCACGGGCTGAAGTTAGCTTTAAGTTAGTTGACAGTTGTCAAATGTCATACAATCGTTAAAATAAATTGCCTTTCTTGTAAAATAACACTAAATGTGAAAATTATTTTATTATCTCAATACAAAAATACAAAAGTATTAAATAGTTTCTCAACGCCAATATTTGAATAGTTTATATGAACATTGTACTGACCTTTTAATTTCGCCGGCAGTAAACTATAACTTAAATTCGGGCACGGACTCCACTGTAAAGTGCTCATAAAACATTTTCTTTACTTTCACTGAAAAACTGTCAGTTTTCAAGAAATACATTTCGATTTATAACCTTTATAATTGTGTTTATAAAATGTAAAAATTTGTCGTAGAAAAGTATGCACCTCGTTTATAAACTTTTCTATACACTCATTAAATTCCTGTATAAAATGGCGTTTATCAAACTTGATACATAATATACTATTGTTACAATGGAAGTATAAATACTATTAAAAATAACAAATTTGTTGCAAAATGTTCTTTCAAATATGGTAACATTCATATTAAGATAATGAAATGATTTATCAGTGACGACACAAAATGTGTGAACTGAGCTATTAGGTACTTCCTGTATAGTATTAAAAAGTCAATTTTAAATATAGATACTGTTAGATGCTCTTTGTGCAGTGTTATCAGTGAATTTTATTTATTTTATAATGAGTTTTGGTATTTAAGTTGGTTTGTTGTATTACGATAGCACACAAATTGCATGAAAATAAAGACCTAACTAGAGTTATTTTTGGCCAACTTTGTATGTAATAAATTTTTATTATTTAAAATATTTTGTGTTTATAATTTTTTTTTGTGGTTTTAACAAATTTTTATTTTTATAAATATTTTTTTATTGTAAATAGAAAATTTAAATACTAATTTTTGTAATTGTTTTTTGTGCCTGTATTTGTAATATAAATATAACGCCTAAAACGTTTTGTCTGCCATATGTTCTAATTAAGTATTTTTTAACATTGTTAGGTACTTCCTAATTACTGCTTACTATTAAATAAAAATATACTGAACTTTATAATAATTATTTATTTAGTGTCAAAATTTGAGGAAGGATATTTATTTACAATTGATATCTACATCGCAACTAACACAAAACTTATTTCTTGGCAAAAAATAATCAATAGCCTATCATCTCTTGATATATTTTTAGTTAAGCAAATCATAAAAAATATCACAAAGAAAAATACCACTTTCTAAAAGATTTTAATACCATACAATTTGTAAAACTGCATTACTATTTTCCATGACTGTACCTCTAATTTATCGATTTGATTTATCTGTTTAATATTAAATTTACGCTTTTATTGTATGAAGGTCGTGTAGAACATCTTAATTTTTTTTTTGCTTTGTGTAGGTAATTAATTGTGTACCAACAACTTAATTTCGAATTAATTAGCATGTCTATAATTGATTAACGAATGCCTAGTATGTAAGTTAAAGCACCTAATATGCTAATTAACCGATAGTAATTATTGTAATTATGATCACACATTTTAATTTATTTTTTAATTATTTTTAAATTTATAATTTACAGTCACGATTGTAATGCACAAATTTAATAATATTTATTAGTGGTGTATAATTAAAGTTATTTTTTCTATTTTCAATTAAAATTTGATGCATGTCTTAAAAACGTTAAAAAGACAG